ATACGAAACTCGATCGAGAAATCGTTTGTTTCACATTATCTCATTTCTAGCACCTTATTCTCTTCGTAACTCTTCCCTTTCATCGATGCACTTTTGCATTCTAGCCCCATCGCTCACACTTTATAGTAGTTCATAACGTTGAGTATTCGTCTAAGCTAGAGCATAGCCTCAAACCTAAATCGGTGAACTGCTGAATTTCTGTTCTGGAAAATCCAGAAATCTCGATTTTTGAATCGTTTGAAAGATGAGACATTTTAAGAATGCTTTTGTTCTGTTCTTTGTTTTATGCTTATATCGACTAGTTGATAAAAGATGCGGAATTCTTTCATATATCACCCAGATTGAGAATTCCCAAGTTAATTATTTTCCTGAGAACTATTGCAGAAATCAGCATATCGGCTAGGTGTTCATGCCAGTGATGGAGGGTCACCGTCTCTTAACGCATCGTCGAGTGTTATTATTGAAATTGAGGACGTTAACGATAATGTTCCAATTTTTGCCCAGTGCAATATGACTGCTGTCGTGCAGGTACGTTATGGTTTCTATGTCAACAAACAAGGCAGTTTCCTCATGCAGTTGCGTAACGATGATTGCCTTGGCTCGCTTATGAGATGTGATTCATGTTCTTTAGAAGTGCATCGGTTATTCTCATTCTCAGTTCATTCAAAATATGCCTTTCGCACTTTCCTTCAAACGTGAACTCTTTTCCTTTATATGTTCTTCCTCGAAACTTTTGACAAACGTTACGCACTAGAACTGCATCAAAATACTGTGAATTTTGTGGACATTCGCAGTTTGTCACGGGAGTTATTCTTATGTATTGTATCACGTGCAAAATACTCAGCATTCTCAAGTCATGTTTACTAAATTGTTGCTTTCCTGAGGATATTGATGCCAGTGAATGTGGTGATCATTCCAGGAAAGTGCCACCCGCGGATACGTCTTATTAACAGTTTCGCTAACGGACGCGGACACTGAGCCGAACGCAGGACCGTATGAATTGGAGATTATTGGTGATGGAGCGTCGTCGTTTGCGTTCGACTCGAATATGAATCTTATCACAAAATCGTTACTTTCACATTCCAAGAAAGATGTTTATTTACTTACGGTTGGTTGATAAAATGGTCTTATCAGAATCATCAATATTTTGGGGATGGGCATGCACGAGAACTATCTTAACGCCTGCAATGTCAGACACACTGTGATTTCTCGATGTTTCTAATTTTTTCGACATGAGCTATTCGAATCGTATTATAACTTCCCCAAGGAGAACAGTGAAGGTGTATGCGAATACGAATTGCAGTCGTAAGGACTCGATGTAGAGGTTTGTTCACTGATAGGTTTTGTTGAATTTACAGGTGAAGGCAACTGACCGTGGAGGTCTGTCATCGGAATGTCCGTTGACAATCTATGTGAAAGAAGAGAGTCGTCATCCGCCGGTCATTGAACCTTTAATGATCACTTTGAACACGCTGATGGGCGAATTTCTCGGTGGAAAAATCGGCAGAGTTCATGCTCGAGATGATGTTAGCGTTTTTAATATTTTGGGTTGACTCACTCGTTTCTTAGGTCAGTTTCTCATGGAGAGAACATAATTTTTTAAAATTTCCCCATTTTGATGAGGAAATATGAGAAATCTGAGAAACTGAACTAATTTCTGCTATATGTGTTCTGGATGGTGGCAAGATATTTTATCAGAAAGAATGAGTGAAATATCTAATACACATATGTTCAGTTTGAAAGATTTGACACTTTCATCAAGTTTTGAGTTTTTTTTTAACTTTATGGATGCTGGGGAGTTCGTCGTTTCAACATTCGAGTCTCACGCATTTCTCTTTTGGTTCTGTGCAGTTTAACTTCATTTTCATAGTTGTTCCAGTGTTTTGTTCAATGTTTGAACTCTTCTCCGTTGCCAGGATAAAGCTGATATGCTTCGATATTCGATTGTCAACACTCCGAATAGTGCATCTCTTCCGAATGGTCGTA